AAGGACGAGGAGACCCGGCGGCAGAAGGTGAAGGACGAGGTGGAGACTCGACTGCAGGAGGTGAAGGCTGAGGAGGCTCGACTACAGAAGGAGAAGGACGAGGAGGATCGACTGGTGGGTCAGAGAGTTAGCGAGGCGGCTCGACTGCAGAAGGCGAAGGCTGACATGGCTCGATGGCAGCGGCAGAAAGAAGAGGCGGCCCGATTGCAGAAGGAGAAGGACGAGCGTGAGGCGGCCGCACTGCAAAAGAAAGTGGAGGAGGCTCGACTGCAAAAGCAGCGAGAGGACGAGGCGGCCCGATTGGAGAAGCAGGAGCAGCAAGACGAGGAGGCTCGAGCGCAGGAGGCGAGAGACGCGGCGGAGCTTTTGCAAGCGCAGAAAGACGAGGCGGCCCGCGTGCAGAGTTAGGGCTTACGTTCATTCATCTTGCGAAGCATCTTGCTGTCTTTGATCGGGTTTGGTCAAGGGAAAAAGGGGGGAGATGCGCTTCAAGATGAATGAACGCAAGCTCAAACCGAAGGAGCTGCAGCAGGAGAGAGACGAGGCGGCGCGTTTGCAAGAGCAGGCAGACGAGGCGGCTCGACTGCAGAAGGAGCGACAGGACGAGGCGGCTCGATCGCAAAAGCAGCAAGATGAGGCGGCTCAAGTGCACAAGGAGGGCGACGAGGGTGCGCTACTTTTGCAAAAGCAGAAAGACGAGGCGGCCCGATCGCTGAAAGAGGGCGCCGAGGTGGCCCAATTGCATTTGCAGGAGCACAAAGACGAGGCGGCTCCAGTGCAGAGTTATGGCTCTTGCACTAATTCATCTTTCGAAGCATCTTGGTTTCTTAATTAGTTACTTGCCCTCCTTGCGGGGGTTTTCTCAAGGGAAAAAGGGCGGGGGGATACGCTTCCAGATGAATAAAAGCAAGCTCTAACAGAACGGCGGAGACGATGCGGCCCGACAGAAGAAGCAGAGAGACGAGGAGACCCGAGCACAGCACGTGACAGACGAGGCGGCGCAAGAGCAGAAAGACGAGGAGCAGAAGGAGAAAGACGAGGGGGCCCCGGTGCAGCCTTAAGGCTCTTGCGCTAGTTCATCTTCGAAGCATCTTAGTTAATTAGTTTCTTGCCTGCTTTGAAGGGGTTTCCTCAAGGGAAAAAGGGCGGGGGGGGGTACGCTTCCAGATGAATAAAAGCAAGCTCTAACAGAACGACGGAGACGATGCGGCCCGACAGCAGCAGCAGAGAGACGAGGAGACCCGAGCACAGAGCGAGACAGACCAGGCGGCGCAAGAGCAGAAAGACGAGGAGCAGAAGGAGAAAGACGAGGAGACCCCGGCGCAGCCTTAAGGCTCTTGTGCTAGTTCATCTTTCGAAGCATCTTAGTTACTTAGTTCCTTGCCTTCTTTGGAAGGGTTTCGTCAAGGGAAAAAGGGCGGGGGGGTGCGCTTCCAGATGAATAGCAGCAAGCTCTAACAGAGCGACGTAGACGAGGCGGCCCAACAGCAGAAGCAGAGAGATGAGGACGAGGAGACCCGAGCACAGAGCGAGACAGACGCGGCGGCGCGTTTGCAAGAGCAGAGCGACGAGGTGGCCCGGTTACAGAAGCAGCAAGACGAGGCAGACGAGGCGGCCCGACAGCAGGGGCAGAGGGATGAGGAGACCCGAGCAAAGAAGGAGACAGACGCGGCGGCGCAGCTTTTGCAAGAGCAGAGAGACGAGGAGGCCCGACTGCAGAAGGAGCGACAGGACGAGGCGGCCCGTTCTGAGAAGGAGACAGACGCGACGGCGCTTGGGCAAGAGCAGAGCGACGAGGCGGCTCGAGTGCAAGAGGAGAGAGACGCGGCGGCGCTTTTGCAACAGCAGAATCAGGAGGCGGCTCCAGTGCAGACTTAAGGCGCTTGCGCTAATTCATCTTTCGAAGCGTCTTACTTAGTTACTTACCTTCTTTGAAAGGGTTTGTTTGATGCTCAAGGGAAAAAGAGCGGGAAGGCGCGCTTCCAGATGAATAGGCGCAAGCGCTAAAAGAAGGAGTTGGTAGACGAGGCGGACCAACTGCAGACTCAGAGAGATGAGGAGGCCCGAGCACAGCCGGAGACAGACGCGACGGCGATTCTGCAAGACCAGAAAGACGAGGCGGCTCGGCTGCAGAAGGAGCAACAGGCACAGGATGAGGCGGCCCGCCTGCAGGAGCAGCAAGACGCTGAGGCCCGAGGGCAGGAGGAGACAGACGCGACGGCGGTTTTGCAAACGCAGAAAGACGAGGCGGCTCGAGTGCTGCAGGACCAGAGAGATGAGGCGGCTCGAGTGCAGAAGGAGCAACAGGCACAGGATGAGGCGGACCGACTGCAGGCGCAGAGAGATGAGGAGGCCCGAGCACAGGAGGAGACAGACGCGACGGCGATTCTGCAAACGCAGAAAGACGAGGCGGCTCGAGTGCTGCAGGAGGAGAAAGCTGAGGCGGCTCGTCTGCAAAAGGAGGAGGACGCGGCTCGAGTGCAAAAGGAGACGGAGGAGGCTCAGGGCCATGGAGATGAAGCGCCAGACGTGGCGGGCACTTCAGGTGCAGAAGGCGCTGAGACTGGAGGCGCAGGCAGTTCACCCGCAGGGACTGGGGGCTTGGATGGTAGTGCTGTATGTGTATCTATCTATCTATCTATCTATCTATCTAGATCAATGCTTGAGGACGAAAAGTCTAGTGCAGTCTGTGCTCGGCTATGGATGGCAAGTATTAGCGTCGCCGCGCTTTCGTCATCGAGTGGATATCAGCAAGGAGCTAGTTTCTGGATATGTGGCCTACCTCGTTAAGTACATCCATAGAAAAAACTTGCACTCTCCCCTGATTGAACTGACAAAAAAACTCATGAACCCCAGGTGATCTCGGGGACCGCCTCCAGCCCGATCCTCAAGGCTGCGAAGCGCCAGCGACTAGCCCGACAGCCAAAGCCAGTGCCGATCATACTCAAGCGTCGGCAAGCAGTCAAGCTCATACTCAAACGCCAGCAAGCAGCGCCACTCAAACTCAGACTACGCCTGGAAGTACTCCGCGCCAGCAGAGCGAAGACGTGACTCCACTGCAGAAGGAGGATGAAGAGCAGAGTCGGCCGCAGATGGAGCAAGGGGACGAGAATAAGCGCGTGCCTGAGATGCACAAGGCAGGTAAGCAGTGACTCCTAGTTCTGTGCTATCCTCTGGTAGTTATGACAGTGATTCGCATCCACCTCGTTGCCATTCCACATCTTCCATGAATGCCTAACATCCATGCATCGAGGAGCACACCAGATGACCCATTGACTCTTCTCTTCTCCCAGGTAGCGCCTCAGCTGTTGCTGATTCTTCGAGTTCGAAAGCGAAACTGAACGAGATTGGCGCGGTCCACCGCGTTGAGAAGGAAAATGCTGCAGCTCCCACTGCCACCGTTGGTACTCTTATCCCTTACCAATGATGATCAGCTGTGTAGTCCATCCTCTGGCTTCTAGGCCGGCCTCCAAGTGTGGAGATAACTTATGAGGAAAGTCGCTTGCTAGTACTAGGGGGGGTCTTGATTTTATGGATGACGTCTGCCCGTTCTGATGATTAGACAAGGAAGCACTTTTCTTCACGTGAGGTCCATACTTCGTTCTCCTTGCTTCTTTCCAGGTACTCCGGCGCCTGGTCGTGCTGACTCAGCTCCCGATCGGTCGTGGAAGCGGAAGACCCCAACTATCTACTGGTCAACGACGGAGCAGTTTTTTGTTATGGCTTCGGAATGCTCCTTCGCTCTTACTTTCATTCTTTCCTACGTTCAGAAGACTTAGTTACACTTCCATCTCCAGAAGAGTTAGTTACTTGGGCGACGCTTTCAAGGGGAAAGCAGTCGTGGGGTGTGGATTGGAATAAACTCTAACTTTGGCAACGGCGCAGGGTCGGCCGGCGGCGTGCCAGATCGGTCCAGAGCCCTCGATCTAGCTCGGCTTCAGAGACTGGCGCAGAATCTCAGCGGTATGGCTAGTTCAGTGCTATATCTTGTATATGAAGCTAGCAACCAAATGAAGCTGATCCCCGTCTACGCGGCTTCCTTATTTTCGGTCTGTCAGATACTATAGATTCTTTCATTATCAAGCATTGCGATCGCTTTCGGTCCTAGCTCTCCCTTTTTTTGGGTTGGTAGGTCTGTCTGATAAATAAAGAGAATGCTATCGAGTGACTGGCTGAGTCTTCTTTCTTTAGCCGCTAGTATTTATTTTTGTGCAGGTGCTGCCAAGATCGAAAAGCGCGCGTCTGATGGTACTGAGATCTTGGACATCAAGAAGCAGAAGACAAAGGCAAGCGCCGCGGGAGGCACAGGCGACAAAGCTCAAGGACAGACAGCTGACCCCAGCCAAGGCCTTGCAGCTTCAGCAAAGGACTCGCAAGGGCCTGGCGCATCCACTGCTGGCAATAAGCTACGGAGATTCAACCTTGTCGCTATTTTTGACGCTTCGGCTACCTACTAGATTCTGAAACTTATTTACTTTGTGCAAGTAGATCAAGCATGCACTTCGTAGTCTTGCACGTTGATGCTGGGACGGATGGAGATTTCACCCTGTTGACTCAGTCTATCGCTAAGAGCATCCCTCCTCATATAGCATAACTTTCGCACAGGTGCGCGCGTGTTGAAGGC